ATCAAAATAAGTTTTCCTTCTATTCCACATTTAGACATCTGGTTAGATTTTTCGCAGCGTGAAGTTGGTTCTTGTCTGTATCAAGATGACAAATTTAGGTGTTGGAAGGGTAGAAAAGTAGATCGTTAGGTACAAGTAGACTTACTTTAAATGGGTGCTTAACAGCAAGATTTAGACTGCTCTGGTTTATTCTCGTATCCGTATTTAGCCTGTTCCCTTACTGTAGTTCAATTTTAAATACTGTTTACCAGCTGCATTCAGTTTCTGTCATATAAACCTGAAATGTGCTAGAGAAAATACACTAAAAAAAGATGAATTTATTTTTCTGTTTATCTTTTAACTTAAGAGTTCAGGATTAGACTTGGCTTGTATTCCAGGCTGAGTGTCAGAAAATTTAAATAATGCACAATACTTAGGCTAATCTTCAATACCCTTGTTTTGTTACGGCCGTTTAGACTAATTTTAGTGATGGTCAGAGGCTTCTAAATAGGAGGGCAGTAACTCCTGTAAATACCAATATCCAAATGGTGTCTCTCTGTTCCAGCCCATCGCAACAGTTTTAAAACCAGTTTTTGTTTTTGTTTTTGTTTTGTTTTGTTGCTTTGTTTTGTTTTTTTAACAGGAGAGCCAGTGTAACTCCTTCAAGACTGGAGTGACACTCTGCATCTGCGTCTGCCTCATGTGAGTTCTCATTTTGGCAGCAGCACTCTGCTAGGCTGGGACCTCTGTAGAGGTTTGCCCTTCCTTTTTCTAAAATCTGTAAACTACTCTACGCAGTGTGTGTCTTGGTGGCAAAGGTAACAAGTGCATGAGAATTTGAAACTTCCCTGCAGAATGATTTTGGCTCATTTCAGAGACGGTCTCCTCTAACTTAGGTTCTATCTTGTGTGAACAACATTTCTCAAAACAGAGCCTGTAACTGTCATCCCCGCGACACATAGTCGATATTTTTTGGAGAACTGTTTTTTCCTTACAGATTATGGAGGAAAGAATATCTTTAAATGCTCTCAGTAGCTTCAGCTTTCAAAGCTTTGGTTGTTCTCTTGGTAGTCTAGTTATGTAACCTGAGAACACCGTGTGCTGCTCTGATGGCTGAAGCACTCCTCTTTTTTGGACTCTGGCCCTTGAAATAGCTTCTTCCTTTGTCTTTGAACATTGGGTAAATTAGGTTAGGCCTGAGGACTTTCTTGAAGAAGAAGTAAGCAGTGAATGTGTGAGGTTATGTTTACTCTGAATCTTTTGGCTGCGTTTTGGGAAGTCAGTTGTAAGAATTGAGCTTGAAGTTACGCATCATTTACTCACCAGTTTTGCAAGAGAAATCGGAATTAGAGCCTTTGCAGCTGTAGAGAGGTGTAGAGCTCTACAGTTAGAGGTGATGCATATGGTTCCCCGGAGGTATCAAGGCTGACTTTGAAGGGCTTGGTAATTAAAAAAAAATGAATTTTACTTTTATTTATTTATTTTCCAGGGAATGGCGATACTTTTTAGGCTTTGGGACTAGTCATTTTTGCTACCAGGTCAGAACGAAGTGTGATTATTCAGTTCATTCCCCAAGGGACACTTAGAACAAAACATCTAAACTTGTGATCTGTGCAGCTACAGTTGCGCTTCTCCAGCCTGGTTGAACTGTACTAGCGGATGATGTAATGACCTGGGAATTCGTGTTACTGAAATGATTATCCGGGAAGCTATGAGAAAATGTCAATAGCTTGTAGGTCTTACTGATTAATAGAGAGCTTAGTGAAATAGATAGTGTTGTCAAAGTGGAATTTGAACTCTCTTTGCTAAATCCATCCCCACCTGTGACTAGAGCAGTTTATTTTGGACTAGGTGAAAGAAATTGGAGGGAGGGTAGTGTATTTCAACACCTAGGCATAAGTTTTGATGGCCGATGTAATCTAGAAATTGATTTTTAATAGTGGGAGTATATCCCTCCGCAGAGTTTTGGGTGAGACTCAGGGAGACCTAAATTCTGGTTTAAGTTTACATTTGTACTTGCTATGTAACTTCAGGTCAGCAAATGGGGAAAATACATTGTATTTCTGGAAAGTACCCTAAATTCATTGGGTAAAAGGAAGTTTAAAGTATTTATTTCTGTAGCTAGAATGACTAGAAAGTCACCTCAGTTGAATGCTTGAGAAGTTCTGTCCTGGAATAAAGATAAATGTGGCAAGTGTGTAGTGCTTCATTTTCCGCTGTTTTAGGGTTTGTGCTGGCAAAATGGGATTTGAGATATCTACCCCTCTCCTATTTTTTTTTTCTTCACTAAAAAGCCTGAAAAAATAGATTTGGGTTTTAATCCAGAGTGTCTCCTAAACACAGGTTTTTAATCACTATTACACCATCATTATAATGACCTGATCTCTAACCAGGGAAAATGGCTCATTTCGGGGTGAGCTTGGGTGGGGGGGGGTGATTAAGGTTTGTTTGTTTGTTTTTGACTCCCATTTTTAAGGTATAAACAGCAAATTATTCTTCTGAAAAAATTAATAATTGAAAACATTTTATATGGGCCAAATCCTATAAAAATGAATGTCAGTGGATTAGCGAAATTGCTTAACGGTATTGGGATTTTGTTTCATTAAATATTGTTTGAAGTAAGTGGGGCTTTGTTAGTTAGGATTGAGAACATTTTTGTTTAATGGGAATTTGTTAAAAGAGATTTACTCTCAGTTGGAGAGGAAGCACAGTGTTGGGTGAGAGAGATTATTTTATATTCTCAGGATAACTCAGATTGACATCAGTCAGTACTACTTTCCTGGTTTTATGATAATACACCAGCTCTTACTCTTTTAGTATGTATGAATATACAAGCACTTCCTTTACCACAGCGTATATCATTTAGATTTAAGAATTCCACACTCATGGATTCCAAAAGGGTTTTTTTTGGGGGGGGGGGGTTGTTGTTGTTTTGTTTTGTTTTGTTTTTGTGGGAGAGGGTAATAATGGGGATGGAATTGAACCGAGAAAATAAATAGCCAGTTTTGAGAATATTAGTATTAGCATTAGCATTAAATTATTTTTACCCCTGAGATGATAAAAGAAGTGACAGCTGTTTTTGACATTGTTCTGAGGAGGTGACACTCAGGGGTCCTCCTTCTCCTAAAGAGCCTTAAAAACTTTAGGCTTTTTAAATATGACACATGTTTATTAAAAGATTTTGAAAGCCCATCCTGCTGTTTATTTTTTTAACATTTCAACTTTAATAATAACAGATATATACAGATATATACAGTAATATGTTACAAGTTATAGAAGTACAGAAGGTAAACGAAAGTGTACTTCCTTCCCTATCTCTTAGCTACTCAGTTCCCTTTTGTGGAGGTGACCAGTATTACTGGTTTCTTTTATGTATTTCTATTTATGTATTCCGGAAATATTCTAAAAGATTGCTTTTGGCAAGGAAAAGCTGAATAGTACTCATTAAGATATTAGTACTAATTTGGGTCAACAGACTAATTGCCCTGAAAAATCAGTTTGAGCCACAGGGTGTTTATTAATTGTGGATGGAAGAACAATAATAATATAACAACAATAAGTGCATTATTGTGAGATAAAAATGAATGGATTTTTTTTTTTTTTGCCTCATTTGGCATTTAGCAAGATTGAAGGTCTTTTTATTTTTCTTTTTAATACAGCTTATTCACTCCTAGAGACTGATGGGAAGATACCTAAATATTGCATTTGGAGGAGACCTATTTAAAGGAGCAACATTTCCTTTATGCTGAACTGCAATGATGATTCTAAAAAGTTTTCTCATTGTAGGAGATTTTAGAGATTATAATAGTAGAGAGAAACCCCCATATTCAAAAATCCATTTTATTTCACCTGTAACAAACTCAGTAGGCTTCTTTGGCAGATAACCATACACACACACACACACACACACACACACACACACACACTCACACACACTTGCATATACCCATCCTCCCATAATCACATCTCATAAAATGAGTCCTAATTCTTTTTTAATGTGTATTTCCAGTTTTATTGAGAAATAATTGATATGTATCACTGTATATGTCATACAAAAAAAGTAAGGCATACAGCATGATGGTTTGATTTACATATATTGGGAAATAGCTTTAGCTAACATCCATCTTATGATATAGATAAAATGAAAAGAAAGAATAAAGGGAAATTTTTTTTTCTCCTTGTGATGAGAACTCTTAGGATTTACTCTCTTAACCACATTCCTGTATATCATACAGTGAGTGGTGTTAGCTGAAATCCTCATGTTGTCCATTAAGTCCCTAGTACTTACTTATTATAACTGGAAGTTTGTACCTTTTGATCACCTTCCTCCAGTTCTCCCTCCCTCTGTGCCCAGTCATAATTCTTTAATATCTAATTCCCAGTCCACATCCAGATTTTCCTAACTGTCCCAGACATGTCGTTTTATGGTTGGTATTGCAACAATAACTTAAAATTCAATTTTGATGGCTTTATATTATTGTTAGCACTGATAAGAAAAGAAGTTAATCCTGATAAATAGAATTATATGCTGATTAGAGAAGGAGTTTAAAGCAAATACCAAGCCAAATAGGGATTGCAAAAATAGACTGTTTTTTTTTTTAAGCTTTTTTGAAGAATTCCTACACCAATTGTACACATCAGTGAAACCTTTAAAGTATATAGACCTCTCTACCTGGTTAATATCACAGCTGTGCATATTAGTTCCTTTTTCTTCCTTTAGATTGTGGGCATGAAAGAACAGATAAAGGGAAAAACGTTAAGTTTCCTAAGAAATGAAAGAATTATTCTGAAATGTCTGGTAATTCATCTTGTTGCTCTTACTCCTACAAAAATAATGATCTGTTTTCACAGACCAGCAGTTGAGTTCTGTGGCTTTTTGGGGCAGTACAAAACATGGAATTTGAGGGAGAAGAAAATGGCATATTTAGGAAGAGGGAGGAGCTGGGAAAGAGTAGAAATTCACTCGTTTGCCCTTTGTTTTCGTTGACTATTGTTATAATGAGAACCTCTTCTTTGTACAGTGTACAAGTCCCCGGAGTATGAGTCCCTTGGCTTTGAGCTTACTGTGGAGAGATTAGTTTCTATTGGCTACCCTCAGGAACTGCTCAGCTTTGCTTATGATTCTACATTCCCTACCAGGTAATTTTTCAAGGTTTTTTTGGATTAAAATCTTTCCTTCTATCCCCCAAATTAATAATTCCAAGTGCATCTCTGACCATGCCCACCTTCAAAGAAAAGAACCGAAAAAGATTCTTTGGTTTGTTTCTAGTTGTGTTTTTTTTTTGGTTGATGTTGATTCTAAAATTACCATGGACTTTTCTTGTGCATCATATCTTTTGTGTTCTTGAATTAAGCTTAGTTTATTGGTACTGAAGATCTATTTATGGGAAACGAGAAAGATGACTAAAACTTATGGGCAGTCATCACAGAACTCCTACCTTTTGCTCTTGGAGAGCAGTTACGTGCTTTACTATAATACACTTCACTTGGTCATCAGGAGCCTTCTTGGCAGTTTGTGTTTTTGGATTTGATAGGGAAGATTTATGATTAAGAAAGATGGTGTTTGAGATCCCATCATGTATGTCCCGCACACAGCACCTATTAGAGGGAAATATAACCCGGCTCATTTGTCCACGCCAATTAAAAGACTCTTTTAGAATGGAACCACTGTATTAAGAGGAACAGTTCAACCTTGTTTAAGCTCTTATTCCTTACAGAAAACACTTGTGATTATTTGGACAGAATAAATATTTTTTAGTTGCTCTTGGTTTAGTTTATAAGAATTTATTTATTCACTTCAGCCTCCGGGAATATATTGTTTTGTGGACATGGTTGAGTTGTCATAAAGCTTGAATAAGATGACATTGGTTTATAATGATTGAGTAATAACACTACATAAGATTGTTGCCTGTATTATTTTTGGATTACTGATGACATCTTCATTTTCACATAGGGGACTTGTTTTTGACACACTATATGGAAATCTTTTGAAAGTTGATGCCTATGGAAACCTTTTGGTCTGTGCACATGGATTTAACTTCATAAGAGGGTGAGTATAGAGGACCTTTAGCCTCTTTCTAGTGTTTTTATAGTGAAACAATATGAAGATCACCTTGTCTCCCTATATGTAATATAGTTTCCTGTTCCCTCATCATTAAAGAACAATTCTTTGCATAAGGATACTTAACATTTATTTGTCAGGCAGTTAGGACCCAAACTGACTTATAAATATAGTTAGCGTTGCATTTTGTGTAAATTAAGTGGTTTCTGAATATACAGCATCCAACAAAGCTAATCTTGAAACTTGCCCAAAAAGAACTGTAGTGGCTTTGACTTATTTGAAATTCTAAGATTTTTATTTTCTCCTTTTTAATACAGTTCTCAGGTAGCTGCTCAGAAGAGGTATGTATATAAAAGTGCTTTGAAAAATTTAAAACTACAACAGCGTAAATGACTAAGATTTTAATAGCTAATATATTATTTTTTAATCTAATGAGTAGCTTCAAATATTTGGTCACATGATTAAAATTTTTGAAAGCATGGGTTAAAAATGAATAAGGGTGATAATATTTAAACAAGTAAGAGTAACCTTTATTTTAATAACCAGTATATTTCCACTATTCTCACTAATTTGGACTTCCCACCCTAGTAAACAGCCGATAAAATTTGGTGTCTACTGTTCTGGCGAAAGATCCCAATGTTTTCTTTAAAAATCACAATACCACAGTTTGTCACTCTCTGTCACTGTGGCTTGACAATTGTACATTTTCTCCACTATTATCCTACCTAATTTACTATTGACACTATAATAGGGACAGAGCAACTCTTAAAACCGTAACAGATTATGTGTCAGTCTCTCATAACTCTTCTATATGTTATTCTCAAAGGTAAAGTAGTAAAAACCACAGGGTCCGCATTGAAATTTTTAAAGAAACAATATCTTTTTTTTTTTTTTTAAGATTTTATTTATTTATTTGAGAGAGGGAGAGAGAGCATGAAAAGGGAGAAACAGACTCCCCAAGGAGCTGGGAGCCCAATGTGGGACTCTATCCCAGAACTCCAGGATCATGACCTGAGCTGAAGGCAGTGGCTTAACCAACTGAGCCACGCAGGCATCCCGAGATGATATCTTTTTGGTAAATACTTTTTGTGACTGTATCAGAGTATCCTTTAAATCTGAGGTCACAGCAATGCCCTATTTGGAAGTGAAGCATCTGATATAAGACTTTTCCAGCTTGAAGATTTCCAAGTATACATAGTAAGAACAGTGTGGAGTAAATCCCCCACCTTGGCACATTGGCAGGCCAGTGATTATATCTGCCTTTCTTTCTTTTTTCTTTTTTTTAAAGATTTTATTTATTTGACAGAGAGATCACAAGTAGGCAGAGACAGAGAGAGTGGGGGAAGCAGGCTCCCTGCTGAGCAGAGCCCAATGTGGGGCTTGATCCCAGGACTCTGAGACCATGACCTGAGCTGAAGGCAGGTCCTTAACCCACTGAGCCACCCAGGCACCCCTCTGCCTTTTTTTCACTGTTCCTCTCATGAGGGGTTTGTTCAAGATTCACGAATATTAGGAGACAAGATTTAGAATGTGAAGCTATTGCAAATAATGCTAGCAAGCTAAGCTATTTTATATGTGGATATTGTACCATAATTCAAAATCCCAATGAAGATAAACCAAGGTTGTATTTATTAATGTCTGAAAAGGGGTTTTTGTGTTGCGTGGAGGGGTAGTTTGAGAAGAAAAGGAAGGGAAGTTCTATCAATTTGTATTGCAGTTAGATTTACTGACTCAGGATCCACAGACCTTCTTTCTTTCCTCAAATAAACCGATAAAGTTTCCAAATAGTTCCTTTGGAAGTACATTTAGTAGTGTTTCAAAAATAAGTCATTTATGGGTAATGCAGAATCATTCAAACAACACGCACTGTACTGTCTTCAGAGTCAAAAGGAAAAAAGCCTGTGGAAAAGGAGAGGTTGAGGATGGAGGGAGAAGGAAAGTGAGCTATGAAGCGTACTGGTAGACAAGGCTGGAAGGAAGGTTAGGGCTGCATGAGGCATAACTTACCTGCCTTGCCAATGAGTTGGGGCCTCTTTTTTGGACAAGGCAAAGGCCTTTCAAGTTTTAGAGTAGGATAATACTGAAATCAAATCTTTATTCTGCAAATCATAGAAAGTTAGCAGTACTCTGTATTGTCACTATTTTCCTTCCATCTTCCAAGTCTAGCATTCCTTCCTTCTTCATTTTAAATATGTGCTAGCCTGATTTGACACTTAATTTAAACAAAATGTAATTGCTAGCTATATTTATAAGTCAATTTGGGTTCTAATTGCCTAATAAATAACTGTTAACTATCCTTATGTAAAGGAATTACTCTAACAGTGGAGGGAATAGTAAAGTATATCCAAGGAGACAGTGTCATCTTACTAAACCTGACTGAGGAAAGCATATCATTACTATTCCCTTCCACCTTAATTTTCATTATAGAAAATCTTAGAAGGCTAGAAAATGAGATATTCTACTAAGTTATTCCTTATTGGGAACTCTTATTTCAGAAGGGTGACTAAGCCAGGGAGCTAATATGATTTTATATTCGTAACTAGAGTTTATGCCACTGGTAGTTAACAGACCCAAGTAAGAATTTACCCAGATTGATAGGAACTTTAAAGTTGATGAACTTTATTTAGATTAGTTATCTCTATATATTCATTGTGAGAAATGTGCATTTTTAAAATATTTTATTTTTAAGCACACTCTATACCTAACATGGGACTCGAACTCAAAACCCCAAGATCCAGAGTCATACACACACTGAACCAGCCAGGCGCCCTGAGAATTGTGCCTTTTTAAATCTTAGTTTTTCTGTTTTTAGGTTTCTTTGTACTGTTTTTTGTTTATTAATTCTATCCCCTTCCTCTTCTTAGAGTGTTTCATTTTACTCTCCAAGGTTCTTGGGCATCTCTAACAACTTTTTTCTGTTTTGCTCCTTAATGTTCTCCATGGGTCTATTCTGTCTTTTTTTTTTCCCCCCTCTGCACTGCAAGTGGCCTCATCTACTGTAACAGTCTTCATGACTTCATCTGTTACCTGTGTGTAGGTGACCCCAGTTCTCTCTGAAGTCTAAATCTCTGTTTTAAGTTCTTGACCTTTATTACTAATTGCGTACAAAAATCCGTTTACTTTGAACTTAATGTATCCAAAGTAGAATTCCTCTTGCATCTACTTCTTTCCCAGTTTTCATATTTCTCTTAAGGGTACCACCACCCTCTCAGAGACACCTTCCTATGAGCATCATCATCTTTGACTCCGTGTCGCTCATCTGCCACAGCCAGTTGCCTGGTCTCGTTGATTCACCTTGGCAGTCTCTCTTGATTAATGCTTCCCTTTAAGCATTAATGTGCGACCACTCTAGGACAGAACCCACTGCTCTCATCTGGACAATTGCAATAACCACTTAACTGATTTCCCAGTCCTTTGTGTCAGTTAGCTTTTGGTGCATAGTAAATTACTTCAAAACTTAGTGTCTTAAAACAGTGCCCATTTTATTTAGCTCAGAATTCTGAGAGTCATCTGGGCAGTTCTGGGGCTGCTCTGCTGGTCTGACACAGCCTCACTCACATGTCTGGCATTTGGCGGCCTGTGGCTGGAGCGCCTCATTTCTGTGTGTAGTGTTTTATCTCCCAGCAGGTTATACCGTTCACTCACTCAGTAGTCTCAGAGATGCAAGGGCAGCAAGAGGAGGCAAACCCGAATATGCAGGTGTTTTCCAAGCCTCTGCTTGGATCCCTGTTGCTACTACTCAAGCCTGTATTTGAGGATGGAGAAATAGACCGAGCCTCTTAATCAGAGGAACTGCAAAGTGAGACATTACAATGCATAGGAAGAATTTGTAGCCACTTTTGCAGTGTAATCACATTTCTTTCTACTTTTTATCGTAAAATCATTACTAGTTGAATATTTATAATTCTGCTCTGATAGTTTTATCCCTCTGCTTAAAAACTGTCCGTGGCAAAAACCAACCAAACATAGACCAAAAACCCCCAAAAACCCCCAAAGCCTATCAGTGGCACTCTGTTGCCCCTGAATGAAAAATAACAATAGCATGATCTGCCTCAATTCATCTTTCTAGTTTTATTTTCCTCTGCTCCCCTCTTTCTTCTCCAGCTGGACTCGTTTTTGAATTGGTCTACCGAGCCTTTAAGGACCAACTCCTGTTGTCACCTTTTTCATGAATCCTTCCTAGACTTTCCTCTCCTTATTCCCACATTCACTTTTTTTCCTACCCCATTAGTTGAAATGGTCACTCTTCCTCCATTTTCTCATAGCTCTCTGTACCTTTCTTGTGGGAGTTGTGATTTTTTTACCTGGTGATAACTGTGTATGTGACTCACCTCCCTTATCAGACTGAGAACTTAAAGGGCTGGAACCCGAGCTACTCATATATAATATTTAGAAACCTTCCTTGAATATAGCCACCAACATATTTGAATGAAGTTTTGAATGTTGCATATTTCTTATAGCTATTAACAATGTTCATTTCTTGAATGTCAGTTAATTTAAAGTTTTTTTCTTTCAGACCAGAAACTAGAGAGCAGTATCCAAACAAATTTATCCAACGAGATGACACTGAAAGATTTTACATTCTGAACACACTTTTCAATCTACCAGGTAGACTCATTCCCCGTGCCTGTGTATTACGGATGCTTTCCCTTCTTTTCGTGATCATTTGTCTTTGATCACTTCAATGATCAAATGAGACAATGAGATCACTTCAAATTATCTCACTTATAGCTTATGAATATCTATTCTTCATTTTTCAGAGACCTACCTGTTGGCCTGCCTTGTAGATTTTTTTACTAATTGTCCTAGATATACCAGGTATGTATATGGTATAACTTTATTTTTCCGATTGATTTTTTGAAATTAATGTACAGGGTTTTAGAGAACTGGCCATTGTAGGTCTTTTCTGCTTTTCTGAAGTGAATTTAGTGCTAGTGAGAGATGCCACATTGCCAGCCCGAGAGATGGGACAGCGGCAGCAGCTCCATGCAGGCTCTCAGCTCCCACACGGCCCCTCTCCTTGCCAGTGTGCTGCAGCCATGTTTGGAAGGGACCACTTCTGATTGGCTTCTCCTGGGAATGAAGACGGCCAGCAGAGGTGCTAATTGTGACAACTGAGTGGGAGGTTTGTGTGATGATTATCTGTCCAAGCAGAATTACACTGAAACCCCCAACTCATTTCACAGCAGCAGCCCAGGAGCCATTCAGGGGTGGTAATTTAGTTTTATTTCTAGGCCCAGTGAGATTTGATTGAGGAGTGAATATGGTTTATCCTCCCTGAAGTAAAATTGTGTTTAAGTCTGGAACAAGTTATCCTCTCCTTTTTTAGAGGAATTGTATAACTACTGCTAAAATTTCAGCTATGTGTGTCAGTTTGCTAACTTCTTATCCTGTCCAGGCCTTGTCTACTTCAAGGCACTAAATCTGGTGGAGCACTAAGTCACAAAGTTAAATAGAAAATAGGCCATACCTTTACCTAGAGACAACATCAGAAAAGTCAGGATGAAGAGAACCTAAATTACCGATTTTAAGTTTTAAACGTTTCTTTGATGGGAACCTGTTTCTTGAAAGTGATGAATGAAAAAACATGATATTTTTGGAACTGACCTTTTAGCTTCCACTTCAGTATATTATTCTATCACATTATATTTGTTCACAATTATTGTATTCCATTGAATACTGTTCTTCTCTCTGGTGGTCAAAATGGATTTTCATTAGGGAGTAATTATTTTCCTAATTAGCTGCAGCCTTTATCCATGTGATAATGGAACCTTTGGGTCCCCGGGGCAGTGTTTGATGTTCATCTTATTTACTCTCTTTTGGAATCCCTGTCATGTTCTTTTCATCTTTGTATAGTTGTGAAACAGGATTTAAAGATGGGGACCTCTTCATGTCTTACCGAAGTATGTTCCAGGATGTAAGAGATGCTGTCGACTGGGTTCATTACAAGGTACCTAGGAGCTACTCTTTCACCTGTTCACTCAGTGGTGTGGGTTTTATGGTCTGATGTTACATTTTCAAGTGCAAATACAGCAGAATTTTTCCTCCATTAAAAAGAAAAAATTGGATTTGCCCCCTAGTGACAGCTCTCTAGAATATTTTTGTTCTTGTCTTCTAGGTTTGTTTTTTTGTTTTTTAAAGATTTTATTTATTTATTTGACAGAGATCACAAGTAGGCAGAGAGGCAGGCAGAGAGAGAGGGGGAAGCAAGCTCTCCACTGAGCAGAGAGCCCCATGCGGGGCTCGATCCCAGGACCCTGGGATCACGACCTGAGCCGAAGGCAGAGGCTTTAACCCACTGAGCCACCCAGGCGCCCCTAGTTTGTTTTTTTTTTTTTAATGATTTTTTAAAATTTATTTGACAGAGAGAGATCACAAGTAGGCAGAGAGAGAGAGAGAGAGGAGGAAGCAGGCTCCCTGCCGAGCAGAGAGCCGGATGCGGGACTCGATCCCAGGACCCTGGGATCATGACCTGAGCCGAAGGCAGATGCTTTAACCCACTGAGCCACCCAGGCGCCCTGTCTTCTAGTTTTTATTTCCATTTCCATTTCCCAAACTTAGAAGAGATTTTTTTTTTTATTTTTTTAATTTTTTTAAAGATTTTATTTATTTATTTGACAGAGATCACAAGTACGCAGAGAGGCAGGCAGAGAGAGAGGGGGAAGCAGGCTAACCACTGAGCAGAGAGCCCGATGTGGGGCTCGATCCTAGGACCCTGCGATCATGACCTGAGCCGAAGACAGAGGCTTTAAGCCACTGAGCCACCCAGGTGCCCCAACTTAGAAGAGATTTTAGTGTTAAGATTATACTTAACCCTACTCTTTGAGGATGATTAAGGACTTTTTTTTCCAGATACCTCCTGCTTGACTAGTAATACTAATATTACATTTACTATAAATTGTACTGAGGGGCGCCTGGGTGGCTCAGTGGGTTAAAGCCTCTGCCTTCGGCTCAGGTCATGATTCCAGGGTCCTGGGATCAAGCCCCACATCGGGCTCTCTGCTCAGCGGGGAGCCTGCTTCCTTCCTCTCTCTCTGCCTCTCTGCCTACTATGATTTCTGTCTGTCAAATAAATAAAATCTTTTAAAAAAATTGTACTGAATAAAATGAAATTCCTTTAGATTTCTAGTTCAAAATAAAAATTAGTTTTAGATTTTAAATACATTTTGGAGGCAGAGTCCAGCAAATCACATCTGCTGCTTTATCATGGCCCTGTCTAGTTTATCTACTTTTCCATGTTGGTAAATACTTAAGAAATGCATTTGGGTTGATAGTAGACATAATTTTTCTTATAAACTGTTAATAACTGAGTTTTTTTTTTTTTTCTTTCCTTCCCCTAGGGCTCCCTTAAGGAAAAGACAGTTGAAAATCTTGAGAAGTATGTAGTGAAAGATGTAAGTAATAAAGGGGAAAATAGATTTGCAAATCATGGAAATGAATAACAAGCCTATTATAATGAAATGGACAAGGGAAGATACTTCTTTGTCTGGATATAATATGCGTCAAGTATAGTCACCAGGAATTTTCAGCCAGAACATAGGTCCTAATACAGTTTTTCCTCTTTGTTCATAGGCAAAAAGACCTAGTATTTCATTTGTCTTTTTAGCTCTAATGATAATAGCAGCTAGAGTAGTTACTGTGTGCGCATCACTGTACTAAGTGATTATATGCCATTTAATCTTCCATAGAACCCTGAGAGTAGGTATTGTTACCTCTGCTGTATAGTTTAAGAAACTGAGTAACAGAGGTTATATAACTCGCCCAAGTTCATACAGTTAGTAAGGGGTAAGGCCACAGGTCACACCTGAATGTGATCCAAATCAAAATCAGAGCACTAGATAACCTAAAAAATGTACATATATGTGACCATTATTTAAATTAAATCAGTAGAGAATAATGAAAGCTTTAAGATTTCTTGAAAGATTTTTAAAATCTGTAGTTAATAGAATTGTACCAATGTTAATTTCTTAGTTTTGATCATTGTGCTATGTTTATGTAAGATCTGAATATTAAGAGAAGCTAGATGAAGAATATACTGAATGTACTCTTTTGCTGACTTTTCTTTAAGTCTGGAATTATTTTTGAAGATTTTGTTTGTTTGTGGTAGTGAGTGAGAGTTTGTGCCCACAAGCTGGGGGGAGGAGCAGAGGAGATGGGAGAGGGAGAGGGAAAGAGGGTCTTGAGCAGACTCTGTTCTGATCATGGAGTCCTGTCTGGGGCTCGATCCCACAACCCTGAGATCATGACCTGAGCCAAAACCAAAAGTCAGCCACATAACCTACTCAGCCACCTGGGCACTCTATGTCTGAAATTATTTTATCTTATTTTTTATTTTATAGTTTTAAAAATATTTATTTGTGGGGCGCCTGGGTGGCTCAGCAGGTTGAAGCCTCTGCCTTCGGCTCAGGTCATGATCCCAGGGTCCTGGGATCGAGCCCCATATCTGGCTCTCTGCTCAGCGGGGAGCCTGCTTCCTCCTCTCTCTCTCTGCCTGCCTCTCTGCCTACTTCTAATCTGTCTGTCAAATACATAAATAAACCTTAAAAAAATATATTTATTTGTCAGAGAGAGAGCATAAGCAGAGGGAGTGGCAGGCAGGTGGAGAAGCAGGCTCCCTGCTGAGCAAGGAGCCTGATGTGTGGGACTCGATCCCAGCACCCTGGGATCATGACCTGGGCCAAAGGCAGATGCTTAACCAACTGAGCCAATCAGGCTCAGGGAATTATTTTAAAATAAAAAGGAAACATACATAGCTCCAAGATGAGATACTTCTTCCTTTTCTCACAGAGTAACACAATGCAATATTTCTTCGAGGTACTTTGGTACAGATTTATTGTTTTCAGTCTGTACCTCCTATTTACCCTCTACTCCCACTTCCACTCTGTTGTTTCAAGAGAGAACATTGAGGGGTTCAGGAGAGGTCCAGGAGAATTTGAGTGAAGGAACCTGTTTACTGTGAGAGATGGAAAAGATGCTTTTCTTTCTGGTCAGGCCAGGAGTTAGAATCTCCTCATGTATCTGCAGATGGGTCTGGGCATTTCTAGGTTGCATCCTGCATATGGCATTTCATTCTGCAAGGTGTTTTATAAAAGAAAAGTATACTTGGTGAAGCTATAGCTTACACTCTCCATATATTTTGCTGGTGATGTTTAAAATCAGCTCCTCCTGGGGCACCTGGGTGGCTCAGTTGGTTAAGCAGCTTACTCTTGATTTTGGCTTAGGTCATGATCTCAGGGTCATGGGTTGGAGCTTGGAGGAGTCTGCTTGTCCCTCTCCCTCTGCTGCTCGTACATGCGATTGTGCATGCATTCTCTAATATGAATAATTAAAATCAGCTTTTCCTGACCCTTTACATACTTCATTCATGTACTTTGAGATTACAAGGTAATTTAAACTCTTTCCTGAGGCAGACACAAGGAAGGTAGAGATGTTTTTGTTATTTTTAAAGAAATTTTTAAATTTTTTGTTTGTTTGTTTTTTGGTAATCTCTGCACCCAGTGGGGGACTCAGACTCACATCCCTGAGCGCAAGAGTTGGGTGCTCCACTGACTGAGCCAGCCAGGTGCCCCAAGGTGTTTTTAATAAGCATATCATCTGTATAATTTTATAAATGAATCTACACATTATATATACCATGTATACTATATTAATACTTAATTCATGCATAGTGATAATGTGGTCTTTTAAGATTTTATTTATTTATTTGACAGAGAGAGAGATCACAAGTAGGCAGAGAGGCAGGCAGAGAGAGAGGGGGAAGCAGGCTCCTTGCTGAGCAGAGAGCCCGATTCAGGACTCGATCCCAGGATCCTGAGATCATGACCTGAGCTGAAGGCAGAGGCTTAACCCACTGAGCCACCCAGGTGCCCCTAATGTGGTCTTTTAAATATAAAATTCTGAAACCAACCAACCCTTGAAGGGCATCCTCTGTTCTTATTCCATTGGACAAAAGTCCAAGTGTAAATGAGTATGTATTTGTGTTTTAGTGTTTCACTCATAATCATATTACATTGCAGGGAAAACTGCCTTTGCTTCTGAGCCGAATGAAGGAAGTAGGGAAAGTGTTTCTTGCCACCAACAGTGACTATAAGTATACAGATGTAAGTGCTTAATATTCCTATTTGTCTTTACAGAAGAATTATTTTGGCCTAAAGAACTGTGAAGATACTGAGGACAGTAGTTTGTTAAGTGAGGGTAGTTTTTTGCCATTTCATTTTGAGAGCAGAGTGAAAAAATTTCTACAGTATAAGGGCTACATCAGAGTGGTTCTCCGATTTTTCTCAATGTTTCATTTGACTATTTTCCCTGATTACAGTTGGCTAACTTAAAGTTTTAATTTGGAGGTTATTTAAAACATTTGTGCTGATTAAAATGGCTTCTGTGTCTCCGTGGTACAGCATTTATATTTGAGAAGTCACACATTTATTTATTGTACATGTGTAAATGCCCTCCCTGCTGTTGGGAGCCAGACAGCAGTAGATGGTGCAAAGATGTTTTGACTCATAGCCTTCAAAATTTACTACCATATAACTTAAAATTTTTTTTTTACCATGATTAAAGCATGTAGAAAAACTGCTTTAACTCCTTGCCCTCATCTTATTTTTGCTAAGACAGTTACAAGTTTATAGTACTAGCAGACAGCTCCATGCAGCCCGATTCACTTTATATAAAATCTTGATTTAGAAACGTGATCTGGAGTAAGCAGTCTTACAAAGCCAACAAATCCAATGGCTCATTGGTTTGGTTAATCTAGGAACAATAGTGAAGAGGCCAAGGTATGTTATTCCCATATGAGTCAGTAGTTTTCTCAGTGCCCTTACCTCAGATACCATTCCAAATGTATGTTCCAGCCCTCCAGGAGAATTGGGTAAGGGTGTGTGGACGAAGTATACAAAAATACATCCCAGAAGAAGCCTACGTCTTACCGACAATGTCCGTTTTGTTTGATGAAGCAGTAATTTCTGGCTTCAGCTGTTACGGTTTCAAACTTAGAGGAAACAAGAATGTGATGAGTCCTTTATTGAAAAAAAAATGGCTCATCAAAAACTTGGGTTTTTTTTTTTTTTAAGGTGCTTTTTATCTTTTGCAAAAGTAGTATATGGACCTTATGTTGGATTTCTTTTTTCCAGAAAATTATGACTTACCTGTTTGATTTCCCACATGGCCCCAAGGTACTATATATAACTTAATAGACCATTGCTTATAGTAATAATACATTTAGTCATCTTGGAATATTGAGAGTAAGGGAATTGCCAGAACTCATCTAGAAATCTTGATTAATGTTAGAAATAATGCAGGAGCTAGTATAGTATAACTGCTAGAATTTTGAAAACCAGGTAGACAGAAATGGAGAGATATTTGTGTTATTTAGTGGTATGGGATCAGAATAACATTATGTAGCATTGTTAAGTTTGTGTGGCAAAGATAGGAATTTTCAGGTTGAGGAAGATATCTGATTAAAAGAAACAGAAAATATATACTTTTTTTTTTTTTTTAAAGATTTTATTTATTTGTCAGAGAGAGAGAGCACAGGCAGACAGAGTGGCAGGCAGAGGCAGAGGGAGAAGCAGACTCCCCACAGAACAAGGAGCCCGATGTGGGACTCGATCCCAGGACGCTGGGATCATGACCTGAGCCGAAGGCAACCGCTTAACCAACTGAGCCACCCAGGCGTCCCTGGAAAATATATATATTCTTGACAGCTTCTGGATACTGGTCTCAGTTATTGCTGAGTTCTGTGCCAAGAGAACAGTTAGCTTTGATATTTAGCAGAGAAGTCTTTTTTCCTGCAGTAGGACTACACTTAGATTTAAGGAAAACTCATTGCAACTTAGTCACATACTTGAGGGATTTTACTACTAGGCCTGAGTAAATATCAGTAAATCTGTTTTGAGATCGCCCAAAAGCACAGTATGCATTGCTCTTCAGTTTGACCTTAAAAGTTTAAGAGCATGGTTCTGTTTCAGGATGGAAATAATGGGCATAACTTCTAGGTTAGTGCTGTGATAAGCCTGCAATATGAGCCGTTATTCTGAGAACATAACCAGTAAAATTTGCTAGTAGTAGTTCCATGTTAGTTTGTATACTTCGGTTTTAATGCTGATCTGCCTCTTTCTTAATCTCTCTTGAGTATTAATTTGCATCTGTCCTTGTCCCCTTTGTGCCTCTGTTAGCCCATTTCAGAGTGTGAGCACTTTCCTTCATATGTTAAGTTGCTGTGAAAAAACTAGTAGATAAAATGATTTAAAATGTGTTAATTTATGTTTTTACCTTGCTTGCTTCCAAAAGAATGTGGCTTATAATAGAACACAATGTTTTTAACAGAAGAGTGGGATTTTCTGGGTATACTTAATATGTCTACATTCCTTACATCTGAGTGAGGTTAAGTACTAGTGCCTCAAGGTTAGGAGTGATGTTTTGGCTTCTGCTCTTTCTCATCTTCATCAGCCTGGGAGTTCCCATCGACCATGGCAGTCCTACTTTGACCTGATCTTGGTAGATGCACGGAAGCCACTCTTTTTTGGAGAAGGCACAGTACTACGCCAGGTGGATACTGTAAGTCGAGGGGGTGATCGGTCTGCTAGCCCCTCTCCTTCGTATTTCTCTTTTCCCTACTCTTACTCTTCCTAAGGAAACAGGTATGTTTAACTGATTAGCCATATCTTTTTTTTTTTTTTTAATTTAATCTAAGTTTTAAACATCTTAGTTGAGAGAGCCAAATAAACCCCAAAGAATATAATTCAAAAGTGCTGTTCATTTAGCTGCCTATCCAAATCACATTTTGGGTAGCAATTGTGACTGAACAATAAATTATTACAAAGTCCCATCTTCTCTCCTCACAGAAGACTGGCAAGCTGAAAATTGGTACCTACACAGGCCCGTTACAGCATGGCATCGTCTACTCAGGAGGTGAGTCACAGATTTCCCTTTATTTAGTTTAAGTCTTTGTTCAGACTCCTTTGTGGAAGCTTTGGTGTCCTCCTGGCATAGTGCGATCCATACTCTTTAGCATCCTTAAGATATTGTCTGCTGGAGGTAAATGCTTCGGTCACCTATTCACGCAAAAGGAGTCAGGGAGAATGGGTTGAGAAGCTGATAGTATGACCTAATGAGTTTTGTGGGTTTTTTTGTTTGGTTTTAAGATTTATTTGAGAAAGAGTGTGTGCGTGCGTGAGCAGGGGCTGAGGGAGCAGCAGACTCCCAGCTGAGCAGGGAGCCTGATGCAGGGCTTGATCCCAGAGCCCTGAGATCATGACCTGAGCCAAAGGCAGACACTTAACCAACTGAGCCACCCAGGCGCCCCAACTTAATGAGTCTTTGATTTTCCTAAAAAGATCAATTTTTCTTCATCCTTTTCCCTATTTGAGGCAGTTTTCAAAGGGATCCTCAGGGAGCCCTTATGGACACAGATATGCAGATTTTGTTGCAGTGAGAAATAGTTGAACAAAGCCACATTGTCAGATCTGTGATGAGAAAATGGTGTGATACTTTTGGAGGGTTATAGTCACTAAAACTGAGACGTAGTTGTGTTGCTCTTGGATTTGGTAACTGAGAGGCCTGGTTCACACAGTGGAACTGAAGGCCTTGCCTTAGAGGCAATAAAAGGAATGATGAAAGAAAAATAGTGGTAGGCCTTCATGAAAAGTGAGCCCTTTTTCTAGTCTGTTCCTTGCATAAGAATAAAATGTGTACAGTATTTAATGGTTATGGTACCTAAAATGCTGGTTTTTAATGTGGAGACATTTTTGTTTTCCCATTGTTCGTTCCATCGTTTCAGGTTCATCAGATACAGTCTGCGATCTGTTGGGAGCCAAGGGCAAAGACATTTTATATATTGGAGATCACATTTTTGGAGACATTTTAAAATCAAAGAAACGGCAAGGGTGGCGAACTTTCTTGGTGATTCCTGAACTTGCACAGGAGCTCCATGTCTGGACTGATAAGAGTGGTAAAGAACCATTACTCTTACTTTTATATCCTAAGGACCAGCTGTGTATCAGGCCTCTTTAATGAACTCATTACTTTTTATGTGGGGAGAAAGGGGCAGAGGTAGTCCCAAGATATTTGAATACTTCCCTCTAGCCAGGTGTGGTATAGAACTCCAGAATTTGAGGAAATAGGGGAGGTTATCTTGTTCCGCCTTCTTGAATTCCTTCCTAGTTAAGCATAGAATGTTGCTATCCTGAGTTATATTACTGTAGCAACTAAACTCTGAATTCCACTTTCCTCTGTGGTCCCATATTTTCCAACCACACCTCTAGTTCCAGTCTCTGTCACAAGCCTGTATCAGTGATTTGGGGGCATTGATGGCTCTGAGTGGTAATAGGTCTTTTTTTTTTTTCCCTCTTCTGGGAATGAGGCCAAATTGTATTCTCTGAACTGTATGCTGAATTGAGGTATAGGTCTAGTTATGTAAAGATGTTTGACATGTAAGCTCTCCAGCTAGTCCTTGCTAGCATCACCCACAGCATGTGGAAAGGTACTGCCTCAGGTACTGACGCCAGCTTTACTACTTAATATCTTCACGCCCTTAGAAGTTTCTGGAACACCCTGTGCTTTAGTTTCCTCAGATGTGAAAAGGAGGATAATACCTACTTCGTTGAGACTTAACTGGGGTGTAATGTGTGTATAAAGAAAATACAAGTAACAGCCATGGTTTCTCATCTGAGCCACAGAACCAAGAAATTGATTTGCATGATTTTCATTTCTCCCAAAAGTGATAACATTTGTTATATACAGTAAATCCATTAGGGCTTAATTCTCTTTGGAGAAGCCCGGTTGAGAAAGACTGGAACACCTTGAAAGCATGCAACAGATACTGGCTGTTGCTTGTCCTTAGTGGCATTCTCTGGCTAGCTTTTCATCCCCATTTTCAACTTTCCACCTAGGAAGTTCCGTAGATTTAGTTGATGTGGTTCTATTTCCTAGACTTGTGACTCCGGACACTTCATTTACTCCTCATTCTTTGATCTGAAAATGGAACAGCTAACAGATGTTTGCCGCACACCGGAGACGGCGTGTGAATTAGCACTTTGTAAGCTCAGAGTCTGCGCTCGCTTGGAGAGGTGCAGCCGGCAGTGTTGAAAGGAGGAAAGGCAGTTAAAGAAGACATCATGGCTTTCATCTGCTGCCAGATCCCATACAGGGCAGGAGTGGGTTTTCCTGAAGCAGGAGAAGGAAGTCATTTTGTACACTCACCTGTAGCTTTCTTTTCCATCCTATCTGCATCCTTTTGATTTAGTTCTAGCAGCACTTTTAAACTGAATGCTTTTTTACTTAAAACATTTTTCTTTTCCGTCCAAACTTTAGCACTTTTTGAAGAGCTTCAGAGCTTGGATATTTTCTTGGCTGAACTCTACAAGTAAGTTCTGCATTTTCAAGACAAATATTTCTTCCCTAAAACCCCTCTACCTCTTTAGGAGTTACCTAGGTGTAAGAGACATCTTTTCTAGAGATTTTTAATGGAGTTTTCTTTTCATCTCCAGGCATCTTGACAGCAGCAGCAACGAGCGCCCAGACATTAGTTCCATCCAGAGACGTATTAAGGTATCCAAATGGGATTCGGGAGAAAACTTGGAAGATCAAGTTTTTCTTTTTATAGTTCTTCTGTTATATAGGGGTTGGCACATAGCTGGCACTCAGTAAATATTTGAATTCAATCCTTTCTTTTAGAAAGTAACTCATGACATGGACATGTGCTATGGGATGATGGGAAGCCTGTTTCGCAGTGGCTCCCGACAGACCCTCTTTGCCAGTCAGGTGATGCGATATGCTGATCTCTATGCAGCGTCTTTCATCAACCTGCTGTATTATCCATTCAGCTACCTCTTCAGAGCTGCCCACGTCTTGGTGAGTTAATACAGTCTTGGGCCAGTTATAATTAAGATATACTCAAGACTAAGATCTGCAACCAGGTTTGTGGGGTGGCACAGGAGAGTTTGGGTTTTTTAAAAAGGTCTTCAGATTTTATTTGTCAGAGCACAAGCAGGGGGTCTGGCAGGCAGAGGGAGAAGCAGGACCTTGGGATCATGACCTGAGCCTAAGGCAGTTGCTTAACCAACTGAGCCACCCAGGTGTTCCTGGGTCCGTCCTTTCTACTGCACAAAAGCCCATGAATAGGTTACATGGTTGCACAAAAGGCATCTCTGAGAAAGTAGGATCAAGATCAAATGTTACAGGATATAACTTTACTCTGCAACGTACTGCATTAAAAGTTTGAGTAGGGAAGATGTTCCTCTTTCATTAGCATTTATATAAAAACTGTTTCTCTTATTAGTGCTACTATCTATCTATCTATATATATACTGATCTATAGTTTAGGACTTTTGTTTGCTGTGAATTATGAATCTTCTACCCCATCTTTTGTTTCCGGCTATAATGATCTGGACAGTTTTAAGGGTGGAAGAGGAGAATAAGGCAGCTTGAGGTAGTTCTAAGAAGATGGTTCAGTATCGGAATGGGCTGGGCCTTTGATCAGCAGACAGGCTTCTGCACAGCCACCTAACACACAGGAGAAGGAGGGGTGAGGATTTAGGAAACTGTTTTTACTCCACCAGCTTTCTGAACCTCTGACTTTGTTCTAGATGCCTCATGAGTCAACGGTGGAACACACACATGTAGACATCAATGAAATGGAGTCCCCTCTTGCCACTCGGAACCGCACATCGGTTGATTTCAAAGATACTGACTACAAGCGGCACCAGTTGACACGGTCGATTAGTGAGATTAAGCCCCCCAACCTCTTCCCACTGGCCCCCCAGGAAATTACACACTGCCATGATGAAGATGATGATGAGGAGGAGGAAGAGGAAGAAGAATAAGGAGGAATAAGAACCAAAACTGAGCACCCATTAAACAAGCCTGGCAGGACTCACAGGAACAAAGGATGGGTTCTAGCGGTGGGTGGGGGAGCTCTGTCAAAGGTACATCTGGAAAGTTTCTGAAGACTTTAAAATATTCTAATCATAGAGAGATACTTTTTAGTTTTGTTTGCACTCTTTGCAGATGGTTCAAATTGTAATGGAGTCTGTATTGAAAGAAAGCGAGGGTAAAGCCGGGCAGAACTGCATGCAGATGGCTCCATTGTGGCTTGTGACACCATTTCCTTGTCTTGTTTCCTCAGTGTGCATTGGATACACCTGGGGTGGTGGAGAGTCTCAGAGTGGAGCAAGGGTGATGGGAAGAGGTGATCCAAAATGATGTTGTGTTACAAATTGTCTTACTCCAACATCCATCCTGAAATTTTCAGTGCATCATATAGTATTGTATATCAGTGGAGAAATATATTGTTTCCATTATCAAATGTAGTCTTCTGTTAAGGCCAAGGTTCCTTTTATAAGCTTTGAAGAGTCCTCTCTGCCTCTGGGCAGACTGGGGGCTTTAGCAGCCTTGTGTAAGTATTTGGTTTGCTGTAGGGCTGGTCTGGAAGGCACTGCAGCGAGTGATTCTGTTTTGAGGTACAAGTCTTCATCTCTTAGATTTTTTTTTTGATAGCAGAAATGCTTATTATCAGAAACTGTCTTTTTCTCATCTGGGATCAATCTATAGAAAGAATTTAGCTGCAAGAGGGCAAAGGAGCAAGCCCTGTGAAAAGAAAAGGAGGAACCTCCTTCCATTATGAGTGAATTCCTTAGTTTGGGCCAGGGTGGCTCCTGCTACCCAGAGCTCCAGCCTTCTCTATCCTCAAGGGTGGACTGCTGAGCTCAAAGTCTAGCTTGAGAGGATGGGAAGAGGGCTCTGTAAGGTCAGAACCTTACTAGAGCACAGGGCACAATCGGTGTGAGTAAATTCCGAATCCCAGGAGAAATCACTTCTTGTTTTGAACCAGAATGGATCATTACTGTGCACATTAGGGTATTAGCCCCACAGGTGCAGAGTGGCCTACAGCCGTTCCAGCAGTAGTGTAGACTTGTCCGTGACCCTTCAGATCTTCCTTCCGTTCTTACTGGTGAACACAGAGGGTAGATTAGCTGCTCTAGAATTCAATAAAGTATAATATTTCTAATACTGACTTTGACCCCTTCCTGTAGCAGAACTGTAGTAACTGTTGATCTTCAGACGGGTTTAGGTTTGGCTAGTGACATCAGGTTTGACATTCTCATAAAGGAAATAGTCTGGCATGCCTCGTAATGGTTACAGTACCTAAAGAGGTCTCAGCTTTTCTGTGAGAAGTTTTTTGGTATAGGACTGTGAGGTTAAGGCTTTTTAAAAATGATTTTATAGGAAGGGAACACAGTTCAGTAACATAGCCAAGACTGTATTACCTTATCACTTTCAGTATATGGGCTTTACATTAAGTTATGTCAAGAAACATTCTAACTACTAGCCCTTAGGAATATATACTACTTTAAAAGTAAATTCGGTTACTGGGGCACCTGGGCGGCTCAGTTGGTTGAGTGGCCGCCTCTTGAGTTCAGCTCAGATCCTGATACTGGGCTGCATGCTTGGTGCAGTGGGGGGCGTGGGGAGTCCGCTTGAGATTCTCTCCTTCTGCCCCTCCCCTGCACTCGCATTGTGCGCCCTCAAATAAATCCTAAAAATAAAAATCAGGTTACAAATGCTATTACAACTAGCACTTAAATACTGTCCCCATTTTAGAGATTATGTTTGTGGTTGCCCCAGCTATTATTCAAGATGGAGATGTTGCTCAGGGCCTAACTTCTCATAGTACATTTACATATTTTCCCTTTTAGAGCAAGGACCATCATGAGCACTTCACTTTTAATTTACCACACTTTCGTATTGTGTTATCCACACAAGATCTTATCTTTTAAGAGTTTCTTTTTAGCCACACGTCTGACAGTGGATCCAAAGATCGAGGAGTAAAAAGCACAAAATTGGAAGAATTCTGCTGCTGGTCAGAGTTTTCTTCAGGACTACCTAAATCTATTTTCAAGAGCTAGGATTCCATAAGCATCTAAGAATCAGAGCAGGGTGTTGCTTCTCTGCATATTTTTCCTGTTAGAAGAGCGTGCTAGGGAATTAGGTGGTCCAGGGGGCAGGCACTCAGGGCAGTGGTAGTTGGGTTTACTAAAATATGAAAGGGAGTTAGTTTCTCTGTTGCCAACAGTTATGGAAGCTGAACTAAGTGTCTCTGTTTCAAACTGAGGCATGTTAGACTATGAGAACATGGATTTCCCAACTCTTCAAAATCTCTTCCCTGGGCATTTGAAAAGCACCAGACACCCCTTCTGGGGTGCTAGACTCAACTCTCAATCTTAGGCAGGTACAGGGTTGACAGGGACCCTGCCATACCCAGCAGGTGGCCACAGCCCTGCTGGGTTCCCCTTGTAAGAGGACTTAACGCCAGTCATCTCTACAAAGATGGTCAGTATATTTAGAAAAATTAAAGCCAAGAAAGTTTAGTATTCTGTTAGACCTTAAATTTTCACCGACTATAAGCATATAGCTCTGCTGAGACCTAAAATAAGAAAGCAAGCCCTTTGAGCTACCCTTTCTAAGGTGCTTTTAGAAGTGCTTCTTAATAGAACTAGAATAACTTAGAGCTACAAATCCCTTAGTCCTGTTACTGGTTCCAAGCAGTTACTTTAAAAAGCCACTTGCAGTGACATGTCAGACTTAAAAGTACTTTGTTCATGTTTAGATATTTCTAAATCAGATTTATTTATTCAAGAAATATTTTGTCAACAACTTTAAAGCCCTGAAGTTTTTCCAAGGCTACCAGAGCATTTAAAAATACTCGTATTCACCACAAATAGCCTGAGACAAGTAAGTGCATATCTAAGTCTGCACAAAGGGTGGGAGCCTTGTACACATTCCGTGTTATGGAAAATATTTAACCTTTCTTTGATGGTGGGAAAAATGTTAACTATGGTTCAGCTAGTGCCTTACCATCAATGGCCCAATTCCTCACTTGGTTTAGAAGTTTGTGTCTCAGTACTTAGGTTTCTCATGACGTTTTTATCTTGGTGACTGGAGATGAGGACACTTCTCAGCGTTTTTTCTCAAATGGAACAACTTCGAATGATACACAACTTTGGGAGGCCCTTAGAATGAAATCTCTACCATGGAGCTACCAAGCAGCCTTAAAAACAGAAGAAAAATGACACACTACCACCAAACAGGGGGGACCGCACAGCAGCCAGGAAGCAGAGCCAGGGGACTTCCAGTAACCCCACAGCATCCCATCCTCCACCTCCACTAACGGCACCCAGCATTTCACGCTGTCCTCTCACTGCTGAGCATGTAGGAAAAGAGCAAGTCCTCTAAAAAAAAAAAAAAAAAGTGAACAACGCATCTTTTTTCTGTAACCCGGCAATCTCACCCATTTTTTCCTGTCATCAGACACAGTAGCTTCATTCCAAAGCCACAGCAGTCTGACTTGTTCCAACAAAGATATGCCATTTCAAAAATAAAATATATGCAGTCTTTTAAAGTTCCCCTGAAGACCTCTTGCACAAAAAAGTCCTCCCAATGGAACACAACATTTTATCTCAAGCTTGCGGACTCTGTAAGTCTAAATACTTTCTATTTTCTAATTTACACCAGTTTTTGGTCTGGTCTATGTTTCTTCCTACAAAGTAAGATCCCTTTGCCTCATTTTGTTACTAGGAAAAAAAAAAAAGGTCAGACATTGTTTCATGAATCATATTAGCACAAATAGGTCCCCAAATGTCTGCTCTCCCATTAAGCTCTTCCCAAATCCATGCCTGGCGGGGGCTATAAACAGGCCTGAAGAGTCTGGGCCAAGATAAACTTCGCCACAGGCACTGGAGCCCAAGTGGCTGAGTGCACGTTCTTCCCGTGAAAAACAGCAATAGTCCTTCTGAGTCTCACAAGTTCCTGAGATACTTGGAAGTATTTGCCCAGCAAACCTTTCCAACACCAAAAAAAAAAAAAAAAGTTTATTAAATATCTAGTCTTTCTTTGAGGGAGGATTCTCACCAGAGGTAATCGGACTTGTGGGTATGGTATTTTGAAGCAAGTGACTTCATTTTTGGACTCACTGCCCTCAAGTCCATGATACAGCAGAATTGTAGTAAGGAAGCTAACTCAGTCTAAACATTCCCATCCTGTGTTGGCCTACTGTTTGAGCACTTCATGATCCCAAATCTCCTCGCAGGAAAAGCACTTTGACAAGTCCTGCAACGTCCCCCTTGCATCCTTAAGCCTTAGAGTCATCCACCGGGGGCCGGCATGCCACCAGAGGAAGGGTCCCATAAACCATTCCTTTAGTTTTTGGGATATAGGAGCACAGATGTGAGGATCTTGAAGGGAAAATGGTGAAACAGCCTTACCAAAAAAAACAAAACGAGTTCATCAGCCATCTAATCTAATTTTTTTGGTTCTACTAAAAAACCGTCCCTATTAAATAAATTGCATTATTTTAAAAAAATATAAAAAGTTTTCAGAATTCAACTCCAGGTACCATTTTCTCTACAAGACTCTGGTCAGTCACGCTCCGCATCCTCAGAAGTGCGGAGTTGACAAGAAGTGCCGGGAACACAACTGGTTGTATCAAATAGGAACCCCAGAGCTTTCTTCCTGACAAAGCTTAGTGAAGAACAGACACATGGGCACCCCACAATACAGATGGAAAGCTTAGGAAAATCTCATCTTAAACAGCAGGAAAAATCACCTCTACTTGTCTTGAGGAATTTCCTGATTTGAACTCTGGACTCATCTGGACAAAGTGAATAAAGCAGGAAAAACAACAAAAAGAGGCACGGCTAGGACTTGATGTGTTGGACAGAGGATTCCTTCCCTGGCCCTGCTTGCTGCTTTCTTCTCTGCTTCTGAGGAAAGCAAACAGGCTCCTAAGAAGGTAACACTTGACTGGAATTCAGATCTACCCCATTCTACTTTCAAGAAATGGGGGGTAATGATGGGAGAGGGGGGGCGTGGTGATTAGGTCAGGCATGTCTCCAAGCCAGTCTTGCCCGCAGTTCTTCATTGAACTGTCTCCATCCACAGGGCAAGCGTAAGTCAACCAGACTGCAGACATCGTGGTTAATCCACACAGCAGGGGAAATAAGGGACCAGTCACCAAGAGCGCGATCCTCTGCTGAATGTAAAATAGAGACAAAGAGTGGAGGGGAAAAAGGATTCCCGAAAGACATGATCTAGGGCTATATCACAAAGGGGCTGGGAAGCTCCACCAGAAGATTTGCAGGGTCTGGTAGCACCTGAGGGATGCAGTTAAGAAGGAACCCAGAAGACTTGAAAAGCAGTGCTGATGGAAGAGGAAGGGGACCCCGACACTGGGTCATCGGGGAAGGTGGATGCCCACCGCGTCCTCAAGAGCATCTCAACACGACTCCCCACACTCGGGCCGACGTGTTTAACTTGAGAGTGAACCCGCTGTGCCAGCTACCACACCCATCTCCTAGGCTTCACAGAGCAGGGGACCTACAGGGCCGAACTCCTCTTTAGGAGCCAGTGGAGAGGCTGGAAGGAGGCCTCTGGTCTTGCCTAGGAAAAAACCAGCTTGGCCGTTTGCCCAGCTGATCTGTGTTCTGTTAGTGACTGAGTGGCAGATGTGGGACAATTTGAGGGGATGCCCTCAGGGTCCTTAACTAAAATGCTTTGGCGGGACTCTCATCCTTGCAAAGGAGAACACCCCCCGGGGAACTGGTGGTACCAGACTCCAAGGCAGAGGTGGAGGCACAGTGCTAGCTTCCCTCTCTTGCAACAGAAGACTCTGTGGTGTGTGTCCGAGGAGACACCCTGCTGTGTTGCCATGCCGACAACCAATCCCAGCCTTGTCACCAGGACAGCCATGCTATTGGGCAGGGGACTGAGGTCGGTGGGGTGGTGTATAGATGGAAGGGGGAAGGGAACACACATCCGCTGGCAGGGTGAACAGAAAATCATCCTTTATCTAAATAGAATAATAGAAATGAACAAAAAACCTTTTAAAACAATCACAAAATTTACAAATAAATTGGTACAAAATAAATAGGAGAGATTGTAAATCTACAACATCATTTGAATTATAAAATGCATTCATTATGACAATCAGCTCATGAAACCTATACATGTCAT